CAAAGTCTACACTTTGCAAAGATGTTTATACTTATGTGAGATGGACTCCATTAGCCAAAATATTGGCCATGTTACACAATCAAAGATATAAAATCAGATGAATAGAGGAGGCTAAACTAACAAACTATTCCTCCTTCCCACAAATAAGAATGAGAAGAAACAAAGACAGATAGAAACGATGTTTTGCTATGGTTGAAGTGGCACTGGAATAGTATTACTTGGGACCTTTCCAACACTAAGAAGAAAGCTAGCATTTAAACACAAGTCTATATATCAATTTTAGTGATGGGCTAAAGTTTGGAGATCCTACAGCATCTCTTCAATCATCAGGTGAAGCAATGACTAGCTAGAGGGATTTCTCATTTTGACGAATCCAACGAATCCACATTTGTATCTATTCATCACTACTGTACAGGAAGCTATCACCTCGATTGGCCTATCATATCAGGTAGAGTTTAAGTTCTATACACTATATAAAAAAAGAAAGTATACACAATCAATTACTTCTAAGGTAATTACTAGTAATTATCTATGATAAACATTAATTGATGACCTAGTAAAAATGGTAAGTAGCCACTAGCCAGTTATTATAGGTTAAAATTTATTAAAAGTGCTAAAAATCAACACTATCAAATATATATGCGATCTGCAACTCATGCTTTTTCTCTGTTTAGTTGATAAATCCTACTATCAAGTATTATGCAATCTGCAATTCATACTCTTTCTCTCAGAAATCACCAGTATCTTAATCAAGGTTGCCAACTTGAGTAAGAAACAATCAGTCAAACCAATTTGGGTCACTGAACGAGAAACGTGGAGAAGCTAATTAGACAAAAACTTCAGAATTCCAATAGTTGGCATAAACTTAAAACTCCTCCATTATAAGACGCTTTTCATGCTTATACTAATTAGTACTCCACGTAAGAACATCATTAAGCAGATTATAACGCACATTGAACTAAGCATACACAGTATTGAAATACAAACCAACAACCTTTCCACTTTACCAATTACGCTTCAACTCAAATGTAAAACCCAAAACCAGAAACTTCCTTCAAAACAGAATGTAAATAGAATTACAAGTAGAGCTTAATGCCTCAGAGTCACAATTCATTTTCCCTGTTATTTATGTGCCAAATACACACACACACACACACACACACACATACATATTGTGAAAACTACACAAAACACATGCATAGTGCATTATACAACAAAAGAGGGAAATTGGTCGGCACCGTTCACCGTTTGAAATGGCAGGTGATGCAGAAACTGGAGAGCGGGTGAAGAAGAACTTTTTAGAATGTGAATAAATGCTGGGATTTTATAATACAACTTTTTAAATGGAGTTTTTATCAACTTTCTATTTTTTTTTTTGTTGCTTCTGTCAATAGACAAACATCAGCTGTAACGCGCTGGTTTAAGTTAGTTAGGACTCTGGGTAATCTCGTGTTCCTTAACCTACCGTAATACTATGCTCTCAAGCAATCGCCGACGTGCTTTGTGTTGACTTTATTTTTTTCCTCACTTTGTTGACCCTTAATTAGGAGAATCTTTATATTTGTAAAACAATCACTATTATTACGTCTAAATTTCAAGCAAAGAGCACACCCCAGTGTATCATGAATTATGATGATTTATCACAAAATTGACTACGGTCGTTAGGGTAGGTTGCCTATCATTATTTATGACTAGTGTTTTAAAAGGTTTTTTCAGGAATCGTTTCGGGACGGGGGATTACATGCGGGGCTTGAAGCTTGATTCTTTGATGTTTACGTCCCAAGTGCCCGACTTATGTCCTAAACACGCCTTAACGCTTAGCGCTGGGAGATTGCCCAACAGTTCCTACGCAAATCGTGCGTGAAATTCCTTAGTTAGCACTACCAACTTGAAAAAATTCCTTAACAAATGAATAATAAAAGTTTTATTCATCTAAAAAAAAATTGAGACTAACTCAAATAACGAGGCATAAAATTGAATATTTATTAATCGAGAACTTCTTGATGGTGAATATCATTTGATCATTTCTTCTGAAAATAAGTAACCGAATGTTATATTTTCACTTGCTATTGATATTCATGTCTTAGTTCTATGTCTCTCAAATTGTTAGACTTTTATTATTATGCTATTTGAAAATAATTTTATATTTATTCATAAAGAATTAATATTTTAATTTAAGTCTTTGTAAAGTTATTGATTATTCATTTTTAGGGAGGTAAAATATGTAATTTGATATTAAGAATTTTAACCTTTTTATTATTTAAAAATTAAGACGTCATAATTAATTTGTATCTCATAATAAATTTAACTATTTCATTATTTATACTTGTAAAAACACGTTAGATATCTTATTTTTTCAATGAGCTTCTTTGTTCTTTTTTTAATTTTCATAACCTTGTAACATGCTTTCATATTTTTTGTGTTATTATATTATTTTATTAATTTATAAATTAAAAAATTTAAAGATCCATGGGTTTACACCTCATATTTCGGGATTTACGTCTCGCCCAGTATTACGTAAAATGCTTCGGCTCACGCCCTCGCCGTTTAAAACATTGATTATGCCTACGATAATTATAATGCTAATCGTTATTATGTTCATATACTTAAGACCGAAAATATAAACAAGTTGATAAAATTATTTTAATTACTGTAAATTAATTGTCAACATAAATATCACTATTATGATGATTAACTTATAGTACAATACAATTACTTAATTTAGATTTGAAGCATAATGAATTGATTGTTTTATAGCTTGATGAGTTGATGGTTGACCCTTAAAAGAGAAGCTTACGGTGGTCTTGAGAACAGAGGATATGCCATTTTCTACTTATAAGATTCGTTTAGCCGTCATTATTTAACACGTGTCCGTCAAAATGTAAGTGCGTTAGCTTTTCTGTTTCATGGTGTGAATTTCTGCGGAATTTGATGCTAATGTGGCGGTCCTCATTGCTATTGCAATTTTATACGCAACATTTTTTTTTGTCAAACATTCTCTTTTTCGTGCCCAAAAAAATACTCTTTCCGTTTTAATTTATTTAAATTTATTTTACTATGCACGAAGTTTAAGAAAATAAGAAAAGACTGTTGAACTTGTAATGTAAAATGAGGCACATATATTTTGTGTGGCTATAAATCATTGCATAAAGATAAATTATTTACAAATAAGGAAAGAAATCATTATTTTTGGCACGGATTAGAAAGGAAATAAGTTCACATAAATTGAAACGGAGAGAGTATATTCCTTTTTCCTTCGCTACATTGGAAAATAAGAGATTTTAATTCGAATGTTCATATTATAGGTGTGGCCCTCAAATGTTGGTGGGGGAAGGTTGGGATTTTAATTATAAGTTTAATAAGTTTTTGAGATAGAAAGAGTATAACTTGTTCAAATGACTTCCGTAACGTATTTTCTAAACTTGGTTTCGTAATTTGTCATTGCGCACTAACTTGACAAGAGATTATTTTGTGCGTTTGGACTTAGATTGTTCGAATCTCAATAGTAGCGGTCATGATTCAAGCTCATAGCAAATATTGTTTGCTTTGAAATTTTCTCACCAATTTGTTTTTCGGATTATGTCACCTCGAGCCCAAAAGATGTGTACGATGTGAATTTGTATCATAAAGCTCTTCACTTTCTTTGCTCCACCGTCATACTGAGAGAGATTCGGCTCTTGTACCATATTTGTCACGACCCAAATTCATGACACGTATTGTCCGCTTTGGACCTAGACCCTCATGGATTTGTCTTTTGGGTTATGCCACTTCGAGCTCCAAAAGTACGCGTATCAGTACCATGTGAATTGGTATTATGCCTCATAAAACTCTTCACTTTTCTCGCCTATTTTGATATGAAATTCGCCTAAGGTGACATGTGCACCCCTTCTTTATAAGTTTGCCAGTCTAAAAGCTTGTCAGTCATGTTTGACCCGCTCTCATCAGCACGCCCTCCGTCATGAGCATCAGAATAGCAACACCAGATTGTTTTAACTTATTTTATCTATACATTTGGATAAACAAAGTCGCATAGTATTTCTATTTGTGGGAGGTAAAAAAAAAAAGAACATAATAAATTAGTCAATGTACGCGTAAACTTGGCTTAAACACTATCAATATAAAAAAAAAAAAAAAAAGAGTAAGGGCAATCACGTTACCTGGGCAAGGATCTAAGTTTGACGTACCCATAAATGTAAAGATGTGAGCTAAATGTCAACGTGCTAATCCTAAAAGCACTGTTTCTACGTTATTTTGGACTGTACCTATGTTGGCAATGATATATTATACTTATCATCTAACGTTAAACAACATGGCTAAGTTCTTACTTATCCCAAAAACCGCATATTCCTTCCTCTTCCCCCTTTGATTGCAATATATTATTTCAATGTATGTTTGACTGTCAAGTTTCCTCATCATGCTTCTAGTTTTAGTTTTTTTTTTTTTTTTTTTTTT